CAGGTTGGGAGTTTGAGTCCCCACTGTGCCTCCTTGACAGGGCTGAAGTCAGTGATCCATAGGGCCTCTTCCAGTTCTGCAGTTCTAAGATGATTACGTATTGTATTGTGCAGCCATAACATCCCATTTTTTTTCTACTAATGGAGTTTACAGATGGGTGGGTCCGTAACCTGTTCATATTCTTACACTCCTTATAGAAACAAAGAAGCTCTGAACCGAATCATTAAGGAGTCTCATAATGTAGGAAAGCTCATGATAGTTTGGAAGCTTTTTTCTTTCAGTTGCTTACAACAGCAGCAAGGTTAGTGATAGGTGCCAGAAAGCCACTTTCCTTCATGTATCAATCTTTAATAAAAATCCTGTTTTTAATATGCAGGTACCTGATATTCATTATAACATCAGGAGCATGGTTTAATGCAACAGTTTTCTGTGGTTTTTTCACCATTAACCATAAACAGAAACCCATAAACAGAAAAACATGCCAATAGGAAGATATTAAAGTCTTGTAAAAAAATAATTCTGTATTTAGGGCAATACAATTTGTGTGCATGCAAAATTTATGGCATGGAATCCAAGATCTGCCTTCTAAGGGCAGAAGGGCTCTGCTTAAAGTAGATGCATCTGCCTAATTTTGCAGGAGCCTTCCTTGCCTTAAATCACAACTAGTATTTTTCAACAGGACCCTTCAAACTTCTTTGCGCCATTATCAGGGGGCTTGAGTGGGTAGGGGAGTCTTCTGCCAGCAGTGTTGCACATGTCTAAATCTGGATCCAACTCACTTTCCCCCCTGAAAGTAACAGACTAGTTGATGTCTGTGAAAGCTAGACAGCAAGAGCATTTTGACAGAAGCTGCTAGTGAGCATTTTGCTTGGTGGCATAGGTTTCCCAGCATTGTTTATAGGTGCACTCTCCAGATCCATTATGGTGAGACCATAATAATTGAGGAGATAAGCTTGGACTTTGTTCCTCCTGACTTCCCTATTTGGTGTGGCAGCCTGTTCCATTAAAGCACTTTTAACAAGATGCCTGCAGTTATTTGAACTTCTCACCTCCAGACTTCTTAGCTTTTTTCTCTTGTAAAACTTAGTTTTTTTAAGCAAAGTAATTAACTTTAGGTGTTGCTGTTGTTGAAAGGTCTTCTTTCAACACTGTTTTCTGATTTGTTATTTTTCCCCTTGATTCTGAATGATTTAATGGGCGACATAAAGTGAAATATATGGAGCTTTGTAACTGATTCTTATAAAAGCAGGAGAGATAAAACTGTTCAGTCTATTAGCTTGTGTGCCATTTCTCAGTATAAATTGCCTTGGATGGCAGTCCTTATATTATTAGCATTCTAAGGGGTCAGTTTTTAAAATAAAAAATGAATGACTTTAATTTGCAACCTGTACTTTTAATCGGATAGTGTTATTGTTCAAAAAGGTACATGTTCTTGTATAAAGAGGTATTCTTACAAAAATGGCTTAGTTCAATAGATGTTGAAATGTAGGCTAGATATGAACAGATGATTTAAAACTGGTAGATATACTTCAGTTTTGAATTCAAGTCCTCTTTTGGCACATGTATGGATTATTATTTTTTGCTTCTACAGTCAACCCTTGACTTACGAACAGCCTCACATACAAACTTTTCGATTTATGAACAGCTCCATCCACAAAAATTGGCATCGACTTGCGAACGGAGCCTCAACCTACAAATGAGGTCGAGGCTCCATTTGCAAGTCAATGCCATTTTTTGCGAATGGAGCTATTTGTTGCCTTTAGAGGTCTCAAAGGGCTTTCAGCCCAACAAAGGCAGGGAGAAAAGGCTGGAAATGCCCGCCACCATGGGAGACCTCCCTGGGGGTCCCCGCTGCCGCAATCGGTGGCTTCAGAGCTCTCAAAGGGCTTCCCCCCCCCAACATCGGAGGAAGCCCTTTGAGAGCTCCGAAGGTGCAGATTGCCTTTCTCTCCCACCCTGCGGCTTCTCCCGAAGGGCTGCTCCCGATGGCTTTGCGGATCACCTTTCTCCCCCCCATGCGGCTTCTCTTCTGCCGCAAAAGCCTTCGGGAGAAGCTGCGGGGCAGGAGAGAAAGGCGATCCAGCCTTTCTTTTTTTTCTCTTCCCCCCCCCCCGCTCGGGAGCAGCCCCAGCAGCGGCGGCGGAGGAGGTAGGCAGCAGGGAAGTTGGGGAACTGAGTGAGGCTCGCTCGCCAGAAAACTTTTTTAATTTTTTTTCTTTTGCAGGGTGGGGTTGTTTTTTGTGGCCAGTGGCTTGCAGTGTTTGGTGCTTTTTATTTATTAGTTTTTTGTAGTTTTTTATTTGCCTGGAATGGATTAACAGGGTTTCAGTGCATTCCTATGGGAAATCGACTTACAGACTTTTCAACTTATGAACACTGTTCCAGAATGGATTCATTTCGTAAGTCGAGGGTTGACTGTATTAACAACGAGACAGATGTGATAATATCTGCATGCTGTAAATACTGGAATTGTTCACAGGTAAAGAAAATGGCTTATCATACATTTCAACTTAGCACACTTGTAGTGGAATTATTACTTTAGTTTTACTGCTTTCTCTTCAAATTTCTTATGTAGATTGATCTTTCTTTATGCATCTTTGTTCATATTGGAAGCATTACAGTACAGTTAATAAGCATATCAGATAACTTACCCAGCAATGGGCAATATCAACAGCATTTGAGGTGGATAACATCAAATCTTGCATAGTACATGTTTAGGAGCCTAGTGTACAGTGCAATAGGTGTGAAATTATGTGCTTTTCTCTTCATTCACAAAAGATGTGTTGTGTGAAAATCCCATTTTCTTAAGTTAATTCACATTCTACCATGCTAGTAATAGAAATAGTCAGAATTTAAATGATCTGTTGAAGATAGGGCCAAAATTTTATTTTGTTTGCTACATTTCAAATGTAGCAATGTTTTGTTAATTTTAGTTTGCTCTTGTGAATGGAACACTTTGTTTTTGCTCATCACATATCTGGCACATATATATGCAGCAAAAGGTCATATGAGTCATTATTGAAACAGTCCTAAAATAGGAGGAAAAGAGAAAATAGAGACGCAGCTAGTTTCTGTTGAAACTTTTCTGTGTATTTCTGAAGCACTGTGTTCAGCATTCAATCCCGTGATATCTCCAGATAAGACTGAAAAGGTCTCTTGCCTGAAAGTCAAGAGAGCTGCTTTCTGTCAGTGTTTACTATAAACTTTACATAGTGTTTACTGTGGGTCTCGACCTACGGAATTAAGTCCTCAAGTCAAAAAGTCCTCAAGTCAAAAATGCATTTGCCATATAAATGCATTGAAAACCATATAATCCATACCTGGCCCACCACCCCCCAAAAATTAATAAAAAGTAAACTTACCTTTCTGAAGTCTTCCAGGGGTCTCCCATTGCCGCCATCACCGCTGCCCGAGGCCTCCAAGTGCTTCTTCGCCACTGCCGGAGGCCTCTCGGAGGTCCCTCAGTGCTACCATTGCCGCTGTCAGAGGCCTCTCGGAGGTTCCCCCCCCAACACAGGCTTTCCCAAGGTGGACCGGGCCTACCGGGAGGGCTTCCCCTGGTAGACCCGGTCTACTGCCCGGGAAAGCCTGGTAGGCCGGGCCTACCAGGGGAGAGCTTCCCCCGGTAGGCCCAGTCTATTCCCCAGGCTTTCCCAGGGAGTAGACTGGGCCTACCGGGGGAAGCCTTCCCCTAGTAGGTCTGGTCTACTCCCTGGGAAAGCCTGTGTCGGCAGGGGGGGAACCTCCAGAGGCCTTCCCCGCCGCCATGGGAGGCATCTCGGAGGTCCCACCCTTCTGGTCCATAGGTCAATTCTCCACCCGCAAGTTGAAATGAAACTTTGCAGCCAGAGATGGCCGTAGGTCGAAAGTATGTAAGTGGAGCCGTTTGTAAGTCGAGACTCCACTGTATAAAGGTTTGGATGGATAATTGTCCCAAAGTGTGCCTTCTGCATTTCATGGCCACATACCTTCCCCATCATTGCAGATAGACAGATAAATACATACCAGTGAGTGGTGCCTCGCTTAACGATTGCTTCGTATAATGAAAAATTCGCTTAACGGTTTTTTCGGAGCGATCTTGCGCTTCGTTTAACAATTTTCCCTATGGGCGATTTTCGCTTAACGATTTCGGGACCATGCTTCACTGAACGTTTTTGGTTTTAGGTCCCCTTGTTTCGCTTAACTTTTTTTTGACAGCCCCGTTTTTGCTATTTTTAAAATATTCTAAAATGTTTAAAAATGTTTAAAATGCTTGGAATCATTAGTGCACCTAATAAAACATTTGTTAACTTAATTTGGCTTTATTCTGAGTCTTTTTGAATTTTTTGTGAATTTTTTCCCCCATTGAAATGGGCTTCAATGCATTTCAATGGAGGAACCGTGTTTCGCGTAACGTTTTTTCCTATGGCGGTTTTCAGTGCATCTCTATGGGAAATGGTGTTTCGCTTAACGATGTTTTCACATAGCCATTTTTTTTGGAACCAATTAAAATCGTTAAGCGAGGCACCACTGTATTTGATACTGAGGATGTTACTTCATGTATCTGTTCAAGTGAATTGTAGTCCACGAAGTCTGTAAAATACAGTGGGACTTGCCATTATGGGATGAGACTTTCAAAAACATGGCTTTGCTGCAAGGCAATAATATAGGTATATAATACTGTATTCTGCAGAATGTGGTTTGTGGACTTCAAATACTGCATTTTAGAAAGAGCTACAGCTTGTAATTCACTTATAACTATGACTAAAATGTCCTCTGCCTAGTAATAAGAACATTTATTAACTGAGTTGTCATTCTTTGTTGCTGGATTGTATTCAACACCTGACTGATCTTCTTGTAAGTCCTTGACAGGTGAAAAACCCATACAGATATTTTCCTTTGAATAACACATTTTATCATGACTTTGGTGGTTGGAAGTTCCAAGTTGGAGACTTTAGACTTGAATCACTGTGTAATGTTTTATGAAAAACCTCCATTCTTACTCTTGCTTTTCTTTTCAGGCTGGTCACCTGAAGTAGTGCAGCTGTGTAAGAAGTATCAGAATGATTCAGTGGTTGCGATAGACTTAGCTGGGGATGAGTCAATAAATGCTGAGACCTGCCAAGGACATCAGACAGCCTATGAGGTTTGTTTGTTTTACATAGAATAAACCTAAACATATTGAGGGAGGATAGACAGTTTGAAACTACTGTGCTATATAATTTGAGAACAAGAATATTTAATACTCTCCTGCAACAGTCTATATACTAGTATGCATTGAGGCCAAAGGTCTTGCATTCCTTGAGTAGCACTGGATTAGAGTACAGGAACTAAATCTCACTGTGACTGGCTTCTTGCTTAACCCTAAGCAGTTCCTTATTTGTTGGCTCATATTAGACTGGAGACAAGGTACTTTGCAATAATGGTTTATTCAACTGTGGGGTGTGAACATTAACCTCTGTAGGTCCAACTTGAGACCTTTCAGTCCAGCAGTCTTTTCACTCTGGAGTATGAAACAAAGTTCCTAATGCGAGTATATTCCAAACCCCTCTCAATCAGTGGGCTTCCATAAGGGCTTGCTCCGACCGGTGCCTATAGTCATGCAACATGGGTATCAGGCCTATTCTCCCTCAGTGAATGTCAACACTGAGGAAACTGGATCCGGACGTACCTCCCTTCTCCAAGGACCCTTCTCTCTTGGGTACACATACATGGTCCATTGAACTCCTGTTCCCTCACATTTGCTGTGCCAAGGTTCCCTCTTCTCGTGTTCTCCTCCCTGGAAGGGTTTTGGGACTGACTTCTACCATCTCTCTGTCTCTTCTAACCGTAGTTTCATCTGTATTATCTCATGCGACCAAGGGTCCTCTAGCTCTAGCCACCCCAACCAATTGGGATATCTCCTTCCTTCCATTCCTCCTTTTTCTTGTTCTTCTTCTCTTTATCCTCCTCTCTCTCCTCTTTATCTCCCCCCGCATGAGGGAAATTGTTATTTCCATGGAGCAGATATGAGAATGACTTTTTTTCCTGTGGTTTTCCATTGCACTTGAATCTTCCCATCACCACAGAATTAAATTATCTTTGTTTGAGGTACCAGCCCTATGTTTGCACAAAATGAACATCCATGGGAAGAAACCATTACAAGGAATTTATTCATCTTCCTAAAGTGAGAAATTATAATATGACATTTCAGTGTTCTGAAAAATCGCCCCTGGTGTTATAAACCACTTATGTCCCTTGGGAGAAATTATTTTAAAAACAAAAGACAAAATGGAGAGTAGCTGATATCCTAGGGCTGCTAGAAACAAGGAAAGGTTCCTACTTCTAATCCCAAATTAATATGGGAAACTGTGAGAAAGAAACAGAAGATTCTTCATCGTGGTCTTCTGTGAATGCACACAAAAGGGATAACCAAGCGCCAGCGCCGGTCCTCTCGGAATGTTCTCGAGCTGTAAGAGAAATGTAACAATTGTAGAGTGCCTCCATTGCGCATGCTCCATGGAAGCTAAACGTGTGAGAGGCACTGAGCTGCATAGTTGTGGAAAGGTGACACCCATAATAAAATACCACCTCACAAGACATACCCATAACCAGCACTGATCAACATGGTGCTAGGGCCCACACAAGCAAATTGTGCAGCACTGCAAATTGTAACAATGTGGAACAAAAATACACTACCAGCATGTGGTAGTGGTGTAAGAAAACCTGGAAGCTGTATGTTTTAATTTGACACGGCTGATATCAGCTTCAGCTTTGAATTATGTGGAACTAATGGTACCATGGATGCAAAGGAAGTTGAATAAATGCTTAGTGTGGATAAGATCTGGGAATATCTGTTGGGATGAAATACATTGTTCTTCATTCTAAAAATGTTTCCTTGGCATTTGCTCTTACTGATTTCTTTGGCCTTGGTGACATGTAGTTATCACCACCACCACACCAACCATTTACACTGTACAGTTTATTCATATCACATAGTTTTCCATTTATTGCCTTTCCCAGAAGTATTTAATGATAATGTATTGCTTAACTAGTAATTTCTTATCCATTTTAGTATGCTGATGTTTCTTGCCAAGAATTGTGCAAGTTGAACATTTTTTAAGCTGCTTGTTGTTCCTGAAATCTCTATAAACCTGTACTGGTAATTCTTATGAGAAAGAAAGAAAGGGGGGATATCCAGTTTCCTTGTCACAAGTATCATTGTTCAAAGAGTTAATCCAACTGATAAAACTAATTGCTCTTTGGGTCCAATATGCATCTGGTTCTCAATTCTGCCTGATAGTCCACTGCAATGGGATATTCTAAGAAGTTCTTTGTTGTCCACATAATTTGCTAAAGGCAAAGAATAGCAGCATACTTCTTCAGTCCTACAGCCAAGATAACATTGTCATTCAGTCAATAAATAAGTTTATAATGTTTAAAAGAAATTAAATGCAAACATGATCTTTTGCATGTGCAGTGGCCCTGATTTAGATCAGGTTCTCCCTTCCCCACTATGGCTGCTGTTTGCATCTGAAGCATTTCCTGTGCTCCTGGTACAAACAGCCCATTGGAGCTACAGTAGAGGACCACAACTGGAACATATGTTACAATCCGCTTCCCTCACACTGTAGGTCCCCCCCATGTACCTGCCATTTACTTTTTAAAAAAATATATGATTACTAATTGCATAAATAATATTTTGTGTGGTTTGGTCTACAGGGAAAGTGGTCTGTGTTTTTTTTTCTTTAAGTGTCAAGGGTCACAAAGTAATCAAACATGGTATTAAGCTGAAATAACTGAGGATAGGCTGGTCAGTGCTCCTCTGCTTACCGTTTACAAAATGCAGTACGACTGGGAGTTTCTTTCATTGCAGCAGCAGCAACTTTAGGAAAGTTCTCTCCTCACAAATGTTGAGTCACTCATGGTGATTTTGCATTATATGCATATTTTGTGGATTGTGAAAAAAAGTGTGGTCTTATTAGTACCTGTATCAGAAAAAGTATCTGTCTGTCTGTGGAAAAGGTATTCAAAATCATAAAGAAGAAAGGATTTAGGATTATATCCCTTAAAAACTGACAGTGTGAAACATTGTACTTGCAGTTTGTTTTTTACTTACCTTTTTAAAAAAAAATAAAAATCTTTTTGATTTATAAAGCCTGCTTATTATTTTGTAGATAGCAATCCTAAAATATATGCACATATACTGCTGCTTGGTGCTGTGACACATGATTTGTCACCAATGTAAACAAAATTGTGTTCCAGCAAAAAACATTCTTATTTTTAAAGGGGCCAGTATTAAGTCCATTTAGCTGCAGCAGTGGAAAAGGGAACATTGGCTGTTTGCTTGAGCTGGTGGTAGGGATAATCCAAAAGAAGGAGTCCCCTGCTCGCAAGTTCAAACAGCAACCATAAACTTCATGCAGGAAATTTGTCTGAGCCACAGCATGTACAGGTAGATACGGTGCATAAAAACACTGCATTTCCATGAGACATAAACATCCAGTGCATTCGCATCTGTGTGCTATAACTGGAAATACTTTCTGGAATCCTTGCATACTGCTCAGATTAGAACAAAGCTGGACAATACAGTAATGGCAATCAAGTATAGAATTACTGGGGATTTTAAGAGATTATTTCTATCATGTATTCTGCAGAATAAATTGAAGTAAAGAGAAAGTTGAGGTTATGGACAATTAATGTATGTAGCTGACTTTCTAAAGATCTCAGACTTGTATTTTCTTGGGAGCAGTCCAGTCATAGTCCCTCACAAACTTGGGAGTCTCCCACATTGACCTCCTGCAGCAAATACTGTAGTTGGGTTGAGCATAATTTATTAAATGGCAAGGTGAAAAATAGCAGTGAAATGTTTCTGTTTTCCAGGGAAAACTATTTTCATCCCTGCAGCTATTACCCATTTGACCTCAGGTACATGAAGCAGTACAGCAGTTAGTTATATTTGTCCTACTCTACCAAGAATCTAAACTAAAAGTCCTATTTGTTCTTATTTCCCACTTGGAATATTTATGTGGCTTGGTTGTGTCATATTTCACGAATGTCAATGGACCAGCTCATTTATTCTCATAGGAGATAAAACATCTTAAACCCCTGATTCCCCCCCCCCATATGCTACTGCATACTATAGTGGATAATCTGTCGTCATGGGTATCTCTGATATCACTTGGTAAGATTAGGTAACAATTAGGAAATCCTGTGTGGGACCCAGCAGAGTTCATGACAGACAGTGAAAGCAAGTATTGGGATAAGTGAACCAGCACACTGCTTTTGGTATAAGATAGTTTTAGAAGAGATAGCTGTTTAACTCTGTACATCAGGCAAGTAGCAAAACAAACAAGAAATATAGAAGAAAGGACACAAAAAAGCTCATATTAAAATACAGCTGTTAGTCTTTAAGATGTCACAACTTTTTAATCTTCTTTTTATATATATTCTAAAAGTACATCGGATTGCAGCACTGGTTGGAAAGTTAAATTTATCACATGGTGATTTTCCTTCCGAGCCCATCTACCATGTTTCCCCAAAAATAAGACAGGGTCTTATATTAATTTTTGCTCCAAAAAACCCATTAGGGCTTATTTTCAGGGATTTTTTTCATGTACAACAATCATGTCATTTTTTTCTGGTTGCTGCACAATGGTGGAAGGCGGGGTTTCACTTAACTAGGTCTTATTTTGGGGGTAGGGTTTATAATACAAGCATCCTGAAAAATCATAGTAGGGCTTATTTTCGGTTTAGGTCTTATTTTCAGGGAAACAGGGTAGTAAGCAAGAAATAAGCATTTTTAGCTTTGTATGTGTTTTAACATTTGTTTCTCCTTCCTTAGGAAATATAACAATCCTACCCAGGATTCTTCTATTCTTTGTTGTATTTATATGAGACAATTCATTTTAAGGCTACAGCCAAGAAAAGACAAGGTAGCAAAAAATCCTCAGCCATGTTATTTTCTTTAGCATCTGCAGTCATAGCTTCACTCCCTCTCTGTTTTTCTGTCTTGTGTTCCATTTTTTTTCAGGAAGCTGTGAGATGTGGCATTCATCGAACTGTTCACGCTGGTGAGGTTGGACCCCCTCAGGTCATCAAAGAGGTAAGAAACTGTTTTACAGAACAACAAAGTTGGATCTCTTCAAAAAGGATCTTAGTCAACAGTAATACAGCAAATCATTCCTTAATGGAAATGGTTTCAACAAAACCCTGAGGATGCTTACTAAAAGTAGTGTACAGTGGGGTCTCTACTTAAGAACTTAATCGGTATTGGAAGGTGGTTCTCAAGTGGAAAAGTTCTTATGTAGAATCTGCATTTCCCATAGGAATGCATTGAAAACCATTTAATCCGTATCTGCTTTTTTCCGTCCATAGAAACTAATGGGAAGCTGCTATTCTGCCTTCTACCACTAGAGGGGGATTTTTTTTCTTTTTTTCCCCTTAGGTCAGGGAACAGTGTTAAAAGCACTTCTGACGAAGCTAATTTTGAAGCAATGGACTGAAAACCAGTTAATCCGTTCTGGCTGTTTTTTTTATGTAGAGGTGCGTTCGTACATTGAAGCATTAGTTCCCATAGGAACTAATGCAAAGCTGGTTAATACGTACTCTACCACTAGGGGGAGAACTTTTTTAACCTAAGATGACCTAAGGTTAAAAAAAAGCAGGAAAGTTTTTTTTTCCTGTTCTTATCTGGATTTTTGTTCTCAAGTAGAAGCAAAATTTAGCAAATGGAGCTGTTCTTAAGTGGAATTGTTCTTAAGTAGGGATGTTCTTAAGTAGAGACCCCACTGTATACAATCTCTCTAGAAGCAATTAACTGTGTATTGGTAATATCAGCAATTTAAAAGTGCTCTGGATGAAGCTTGTCCCCTGTAGAATTTAATCCTTGATCCAACTATCCACCAATTTACTAAAATTCTTTACATATTCACCCCTCTTCCTTCTTGTTTCCAGGATTCTAATGTGTAGCAAAAGACTGCTTCTTTAAAATAAAATATTAGGATATAATCATGTATGCTGAGTTTCTTGGGCCAGGGTCCAAGCAGCTATGTGTGATCTTCAACATGTATGTAATGTATTTTTCTGCCTTCACCCTAAAAGTTATCATGAACATCAAAGATTTATTTGGAGAAACTTTTTTATTACCTGGGAAGACACAGTTGGTAAACTTCCAAGGAACACACCGAAGTATTTTGTGTATACACACAGGCCTTTCATAATCCTGGTTTATTCTGCATAATTGGTTCCATCCAGAGATTTAGTGCATAAGTACCTACTATGGAGGTGATGATTCTCTTTATGTAAAATACAATTTCTATGAAATATTTGACAGAAATTCCTAATTAGGCAGTAGATTTGCTTGATTATAATTTGCAGATTATATATGAATTTCTTCTGCTAATAGTAAATTCTCAGAACTTTATGTTCATGTTTGTGGAGTTTTGAAATTTGATATGCGGTAATCTGTCTTTGCATAATTCATTTAGCCTTGATTCACATGTACTCTCAAACCGTAATTTGGTGTTACTCCAGCAAAGTTTCATCTCATGGACTTCACATTACTTCCATATTTCTCCAAGAAACAACGCAAACATATATAGCATATCCAGAATGTATGTCCCATATATACTAAAGCTGTCTTTATAAATAGCTTTCTACCAGAGCTGAAGAAGCTCTGGACATTCTAGCTAGATGATTCTGACAGTTGTATTCTAAAAAGTAACTTCTGCTGTTAGTGCATTGTATTAAAAATACATATTAGCACACTGTCTTAAATAATAGGAGGAATCATTTTGAATATATCAATGAAGCCTTTCTAACTTTGATGTTTGGACTTGGTGTAGTTCTTGCACGTAATTCAGAGCAATCTTGTTAGCAAATATCTAATTCTTCATATTTTTCAATCTTCCTTTCCTCCCCACCCCATGCTTTTTTAGGCAGTCAACATACTAAAGGCAGAGCGAATTGGCCATGGCTACCGTGTTTTTGAAGATGAATTTCTATACAAACAATTAAAAGACAATATACATTTTGAGGTAATGAACTATCCTACAGGCATCAGATCTTTTTAGCTATTATCCTGTGTAAAAAATATCAAAACTAGACAATACATTTAGGATGTTATTAGACCAGGAGCTCCCTGTTTGTATTAGCAAAGGTTCACTTCATTCTGCATGGTTTTGTTCCCTGACTGGTCATCAGTAAAGTAATTACAATGCCTGAGAGGAAATGTGCTAATAGCAGGAAATGTTTTCTTTAATATTCAATTCAACTTAACAGTTCATAGGAAGAGCTCTTAGTCAGACCATTTGCTCATCTCTTTCAAATTGGCAAAAGCTATTTTCAGTATGAGACAGACTCCTTTCTCTGTCCTACCTGGAGATGCAGAGAGTTAACTCTGAAGATATAAGGGATTGAGTCTTTTGCATGCAAAGCATGTATTCTTGCTATGAAGCAATAGCAGTGAGAGTTGCACTGCTGCATAGGCATTTGATCATGGCCTTACTTGGAGTGAATAAATTCTGGCTTTATAGTATTGAAGTATCTTCTGCTTTGCAGCTGAAATAAATGTAATGATCTAATTTATGACTTGATTTCAAAACTCCTACTCCTTAAGTCTAATCAGGAGATATGAGACATACATAATACAAGCTGTTTCATAAGATTTCATTCATGTTTAATTGTTAGACCCAGTGAGTAACTGCTCAGTTGTAATTCAGTATTTCTGTAAATCTTCATTCGTGTGTACTCTAGTTGGGAGTAATATTTAGATTTAGGTCCTAATCCCATATATACAAAAATTGTCTACTTGATTTTTGAAGAACAGAATGCTTGTTATTACTGAAACATTAATGTTTTAAATCTTACGGTTGGGGCATCACTGGTACGGGTCAACTTGCCACATGTAAGCAAATATGTATATGAATTCAGAGCTGTAACTGGACTGGTTATTTGATTCACAAAGGTTCATTGCTTGAACTTTGAAAGAGCATACAATCTGTATGCCAGCTATAGGAGGATGTACCTTGCTGCACAGTCTATAATGCCATCTTCTCTGTGTGGCACAGATCAGAGTGCTTATGATGTCTGAGACTCAGCTATTTGTTTTTGTTAAATGGATACAATTTATCCAATCACCTTTCTGTAGTGGGCATGCAGAAACTGATTAAACAGGCATAACTCAATTTTACCTTACAGAAATATTTTTATGTGTATATTTTATATAAAATAATGTTTTCAAAATGTACTCTTTTGTGGTACACAAGAAAAATGGAATCACTGACATGTGTGAATCACAGAGACCACAAAGAAGAATAAGGACACAATTTAAAAGAGATAACTTATAATGATGCTTTTGTTTTTTTTATGGTACAAATATAGCTTTGCCCTTGGTCCAGCTACCTCACTGGAGCATGTAAAACACCCTTCTGTAATCATCCAGCAGTAAGGTAAGGTTGATTTATTAGTTTGTTTATTATTATTTGAAAAGAAATAATCCTATAGCCATTTAATGTGATTATCCATTATTCCTGAATACTCTCCAAATAGAAAAAAAATCTTGATTTCATTTTGTTGACAGATTAAAACAGTTGAAATCATGTTCTAAAAGTTATGCTGTGTAAGGCTGACTTTATCAGGCTTACATGTTGCAACTTATTAAAAGGATTTCAACTAATGAGTAATTCAGAAAATGTGATGTGCCAGGGTGATTTATTGTTCCATCTAAAATCATACTAGGTTGGATGTTGGCCTTAAGACCTAACTTGCTATGTCTCTCCATCTGCCTTGCTCTTAATTTGTATCCAGGACATCTTCAGAAGCTCCATAGAATTGTCTTTTTTCCTATGTCAAAGAAAGCATTAATGTCATTCAAACTATAGCCTTAATGATATCTGTGGTAGAATACAAAGAGGATAGCAACCTTAGGAAAATAGATTTTATCTGTCAAAAATGTGGGTCATCTTAAATCTATATCATTTTTGATTTTCCAGATTTAGGAAGGATCGTGCAAATTATTCTTTGAATACAGATGATCCACTTATATTCAACTCCACAATTCACACAGATTACAAAATAGCTTGGGACTCAATGGGCTTCACTGAAGAGGAATTTAAAAGATTGGTAAATTCATCTACATTCAGATCATTTATGTATTTATTTATTTATTTGATTATATTTCTGTTGTGCCTTTTTTCAGAATTGAGACAGAAGGAAGACATGTTCTGTGTTTTCTATATGAGTTGTACTTTTCTCTTGCAATAATTTGTGGCTAGATCTTAAATTTGGTAATTTGGAAGACAGAGCTTATTTCTTGCTCAGTTGTGTTTCAATCTTTGGACAAAGTTAGCCTTCTTGAAGTTATGTTTCCAATATATAAATTTCATGTGAAAATGCTTTTCTTCACCTTCATATTTTACATTTCCTCAGCTTGCTTATGTAAGGACATGGTGGCAAAACATGCATATTCACCTCCATCTCCTCTCCTTCTAAAGGCCACATACTTTTGCTTGAATACCTGAATAGGCACTGAACTTAATGGAAGTTAATACCAGATAATTACTGTGTGATACAGGCTAAACAATTGTTTTTAAAAATCCAGTTTTCCTCTGCCCCATTTTAAAGCTAAAAATATATGCTTGGAAAAAGCATGTCCAGCTTCTCATTAGTTTCACCTAAAACTAGGTAGCAGTACATACACAGTCATTAGTGGTATTTGTTATTATTTCTAATGCAGTACGCTTTACTTCCATGTTCATTCTTCCTTTCTGCAGAACATAAATGCAGCCAAGTCAAGCTTCCTGCCGGAGAAAGAGAAAAAAGAAATCCTCTACCAATTGTATGAAGCATATGACATGATAAAAAGTACAGAGTTCTAGTGCCTTCATGCTGGCCAGCCATGACCTCGTTTTTGGCAAAGGTTATGCTTACTGGAGACCTCAGTGTTCGCTTCTTCAAAGACAATGCACAAACTTAGTATTACTATCTTGTTTACTATCGTATCGACAGGAGGGAGAATGCACTAAATAAAAAGAACAATGTTCCTATGATGCTTTTATCTGCTAATAGCACAGTTCCATAGATAACATATAAGTACTGTGAGTTTCCGTATTCCTTTTTTAAACTGGGGATGGGCGGTCATCTTTACAGAGATTTGAAGTCTTGGAAGGTGGATTGCTGTTTGTAGTGATTACACTTTTCACTTCGGTAGACAAATTTTAAAAGTATTTGTTTTATCAAAAAGTGTTTTACCATGTGACAGTGAGACAGAGAAATATATTCACAGTAGGAAGCAAAATCCTTCTTAAATAACTTTTCTGCCTTTTAATAATTGTAATTTATCTCTGTTCTTTAAGAGATTTCTCTGTAATTGGTCTGTGTCTGTATCTAAGTCACCCTGTGTGTGAAAGAAATAAATAAAACCACAATCCTCTACCACCAGTAAAATTTTTGGAGATGTTATGACTTCTGGTGGAAAATCTCTGATAAAAAGAACATGGCACTTAATTACTATATACTTACAGTAATATTTTGATACAACCACAGCCTATCTTAAGTTTGTGCTTGAGTCTACTCAACAGTTGGTGATTTTTATTTTATTTCGTTTGGCATCATTACATTCTATAGACTTAATATCATAAAGTGGCTGTGATTCAAAGATAGTTATGTCACCTAGGAGACAGTATTCTTTTTCAGTACTTCCAAGAAAGCTTTTTAAAAAAGTTCATGTGAATGGAGATCACATAAAATGATTATTCTCCAAATGAACATCTGCCTTGGATGGTTAGAAATGATTCCTGATACAAAGAGCAATCCATGCAAGAAATCCTCATTCTCTGTGCTGGTATCTCCTGCTAATTTGGGGTATACGGCAGTACTCAATCTTGTTCAGCAACTGCTTTTCCCAGTCAAACTTGCCTAAAATGTCTTAAGCTGGATGTGTGCAAAGACACAAAATACATTTTATAAGATATAAACAGATTTTGTTAAGAACTGCACCTTTTAATTATTATTATTTTTTATTTAGCATATTTGCTGAGATAACTGGCTTCTCCCCTTTCAAAACTATGGAGACTGCCCTGTTATGCAGACAATTTTATATAAGCTATGTTATATATAGCATTAATTTTTGTCACCAATAGCAAGATAACACCTAATGGTGCTTATCCTTTTCTAATTGAGGTAGATGCTTAATAGTCTTATTCACAAACCAGATGGACTTGAAACCGGATGCTCCATTCATTTCATTTCAGTGGAAACAATTTGGTTGAAATACAAATATACAGACATTTGAATTTAATTTGAATTGTAGCTTTTCTTTCATAAAGGGACAGGGTTCAGACAACAGGGGGTTCCTTTCTCCTTCTGCAGTGTCTATTGCCCTTTAAAAACCCATTCCTTTAGATTTGGATATTTCTTAGAAAATGAGCTAGATAGAATATGAACACCTGTAAGTAGGAGGAGTTGCTGGAATTCCATGTGAGCAGAGAAATAATTTAGCTACCTCTTCCTCCATAATATCAATAAAAATTATTGATTCTGATGTTCTGAGTTTTCTACTCCCTTCAAATGAGAGTGGTTTTCCCCCAACAAAAAGAGCTAAATTTTCTCATTATAGTGGTTCAGTACTTCTAGACTTAAGTAGTTAGGAACATGGTTGATCCACAGTCAGAACATTAATTGATCCTGATAACCAATTAGATATCTGATATAGGTTGATTATTTTAAGATGTGGAAAAACTGAAAAAGATGTGGAAAAACTGAAAAAACAAGAGTGAATTTACAATATTCTCACTTCCTGAATCCCTTCATTTGGAATACTCCTGCACTATTTAATAAGATTGCTTCAAAATTAGTTAAGTCTAATTGCTAGCTTCTTTTTGGTAATTTTGTCCTTAGATACTTGGATTTTAAAAGGTAGTCTAGTTGGTCATTCTCTACTGCATCTAGAGGGAGTAGAATATCTAGCTGGTGCTGCAATGCCAGAGGCTCATTATAGACCTCTTTAATGGAGCTGAAAATGGAATTGAGGACCTTCTTAATATAAAGAGGCTTGCAGTTTTATTAAAAAGGATGTTCATTAAGAAGCTGGACCTGCTTTAAACATGCTTCTAAGTAAACAAGAATATTCTTAAATTAGTGTGTTAGAGCTTGTCTCTAGTTATCTCTGGCTGTTGGTACTCCTGGTCCATTCTTATGCTCACAAATATGACTGTGAATATTTTAAGGGTATATGCAACCAGATTCATTGTAACTGCTACTAATATACACGGCAACATGTTTTTGTTTCGTTTCAATGCAAAGAAGGCTGATTCTAATTTTATATATCTGCAGGCTGCATTCTGACTCCCAAATGCTTATTTTAGCAGGATTAAAGAAAGGTAACACAGGCAAACCTCCTGAATCAGCACAATTTAGACCCTGTCTTGGTACTCTGATGCTAAATCTTGTATACTAAATTGGCTATGGTGGTTTTTACAATTTGCTAGTGTTTTGTTAATCATAAAAACTTGTGCTGGAATGTCTAGGGTGGTTATAATATGAAAGCTGATATTACAAAGCTTCAAAAACCAAAAATCTAATGAATGGCTTTGAGATCTCTGTCAAATATAGAGAAAATAGTATATCTTGCATAGCAACTGGCTCAGAAAATAGAGAGTTGGAAAATAATAGCTTACAGTGGTAATAAGGACTGTTGTTACATTTGTAGCAACAAATGTCTATATATATACCAAGGACTATATACATAGAGAAAATATTTTGATATTTTTGCAGTGCCAATACAAAGTTATTCTGCTTGTAAATGGTTTTAATATTGTCATCCACTCCTTGTTTTGTATTATCTTAATTTGGGGGGGGGGGGCAGCACATTCTGAAGAACAGAACAGAATGTCTCTTCGTTTGATACAATAAAAGACAGTTTTAAATACATGTATACTGTACTTCATTTTGTCTCAATCAGAAAAATGCAGATTTATAAAGCGCATCAGTCCAAGTCTTTTTTTAAGGATTTCAATGGTAAAAACGGGAATGGCAAACTGCTGCACTCTGCCTTGGTTCAGCTTGTTGGAACACATGAATGGGTAAAATTTAACTGAGTGAAATAGAGTAGCTTTAGGCTGGGCATCTGCATAGAATGCCTTTTATTATGCAGGAGAAACAAATCTGTACAGTACTTCTGTTTTTGTACTTAAGGCAAAAGCAGATGTGATTCTTTCCCAGCAGTCTGCTTTAAAAAAAAATAAAAATAAAAGAGAAGACTGGGTAGTAAAGACCCTTCTTTCCTTGAAACCGTAGAGTATTGCTACTACGCCATGTAGTATAAAGGCAGTATAAAGCTAGAGCAACCAACTATCTCAGTATAAATTAATGTTGGGCCAACCTGTTTGGCCCAGATGGGCTTGGAAAACAAAATGTCCCCAAAGGCTGTACCAGGCCATAGAAATTGACTTCTGCTTATGGGTTTTCAAAGTATTTGTGAGATATTTAAGGAGTGGTTTTACCATTGCCATCCCCAGTGAGTTTTCATTGCCATGTGGTGATTCTAACCTCCTGAGTCCTAGTCAATCATTCTGTTCACTACACCACACTGACTTTGCTACAGAGCCCCAGTATAATATATTCATTTAATGGAAACTCAGGTTTTTCTAAGCCTCTGAAAAATGGGATAAGATTTAAAATATATGATCTTTCAGTACTATTAGGAATTCCTATTAACATTTTAACTCACCAGTGAAACTTTGTCTTGACCTGTGTAGCTTAGAATAAGCTCACAAGGGATTTGGCTAAATATAATACTTAACCTAGACATACTTAACATGCTGGAAGCACTATGTTTAGCTTGTCTCTTTCGATACTGCAGTGAGCAGTAAGTATCCTACTGTCTTCCCCTGTGTATGTGCTTGTAGGATGGAAACAATAAAATTTCCTTTTAAAAAAATCACACAATTGTTGGTTGTTACATTATAGAAAGCTTATCTATCACTGAATCAACTCCTAACTCCTTGCTCCAATTTAATGGTAACATGTAGGAAAAACATGTGAGGAAAAAGACAGCAGAAAGGCTTCAAGATTGGTAGCTCAATACTGAACTTTCATGGAACAGCTAAGCACAAAAAATGGCTTTTTTCTATGAGACGTTTTAAAAGGTTGCTCTATAGGAATGGAGGGATGAGGAAGTGACTGGATTCTTACAATGTCAACTGTGCCAGCAGACACAAGAAACTGAAGCTAGTGATTGGAGAACACAAATCATTAAGCAAACTTTAGGTCTGTGGTTCCACTGTAATTATTAAAAGTTTTTTTGTTTTTGTTTTCACAATAGGATGTTGGCTTGTCGCCATAGGTCTGTGTCACCTGACAAAAATGAGTGGTGTTGAACAACTATAAATCGGAAGATGCTAAACCATTAGAATGTAAGACGGCAACCTGATTCAACAGGGCAGGATACAAAATTCTGCATTTAGCCAGCAAACAAAAATCAAATACACAGGTATACAGTGGGATATACCTGGCAGCAGTAGATATAATAAGGATCTCGGGACTTTAGCCAGTTGCAGGATGAACACTACTTGGAAGTGTAACACAACTGCCAACAAAATGTAATGCTATTTAAAACTGCTAGCATATGTAATGGTTCCCCTTTATTCTGCATTAGCCAGAGTATTGTCTAGTTCAGAATGTCACATGCATGAGATAGCTCTTCAGATTTCTGAAGGGTCGTCACAAAAGCTATTCTCTGCTCTCCTAGAGGTTAGGACTGGATCTAATAGACCTAAAGGAGAGTAGATTTCAGTCAGTCAGACATGAAATGTTTAGAGTGGGATGGGCAACATACAGCCTACATGCAGACAGAAATGGTGAACTTGACTACTGGAGTACTTCAAACAGAGGCTGAACTGACATATGTCAAGAATTGACTGAGCTCCAGATTTCGTCCGTCAAGCAGCTTGTTGGATGACGTGGCCTACAAGGCCCCAGACCTGGCCCTACTGTTAGTTAAAGTGAGACAACCATTTTAGGGAGCTGATACTGTAGAGGTGGAGCTATGTTACCATATTTGCAGTGTTACCTGCAACAGTAATGTTACAGTGGAACAGCAGAGCACTTCATCCCAAGAAAATATATGTTTCTAAAGCAATATGGAAGATCAGATTTTAAGATTATCTGAACAACCTACAAGCCTAGAAATGAAAAAATAAAGTACTGACAAGAAACTACATTAGTTTTAATTGCTTGAAAATGGATTTGTCAATTTGCATATACATTTCAACACAACACATGCGTGTTAATGGGATATAAAACTTCACCAAACAACTGAACTCTGTAGAATGTTATGAGTTTGTTTAAAAGATAGAACACTCCCCCTTTTTCTAAACTGTTATTAAACCAAATTTTGAAGTGCTCCTGTTTAGCAGTGCTGAACCAGCTTTGGTATATGTGTGTATGCACCTATGAATTTTAATCTTTTCCTCCATGGTAGGGAAGAAAACCACTGAGTCAGTAGATTAGGATGGTGATACTTCACATATGTCTTTCAATATGATAAATGTGTCTAGAGGATTGTTTCTTCCGCAATCCACACTGAACTGGAGTGTAAAAAAGCATAGTTTGCCTTATCCAATGTCCATTGATTTCATTGAGCTTCACATTAGGAAGCTGGTGAATTAATCCTATCACTTCTTTGTTCATAACATAGCCTTCAGATATCAAGTCATGTCTGAGATGTGGCATCTGCATAATAAGGCATCTATCTAATAAGGTATCTAATCTATAGGGACATAGGAATAAATAATGTTTATAATTACCACATGAGCAAAATGTACCTTGCAAAATAAAGTCTGAAATGTATGTCTTATTAACAAAGCTGTGTTTTCCTATATAGGAAAATAGCTGGTAATGCTCTCTAAGTGGCTCAGGTAATTGAAATACAGCTTTGGAACTGTAGAAAGAGGATTCTTTGGAGGTACCAGTTGCTTGCCACAGAATGTGTCTGAGATCCAGATGGCCATGGTCTATACCTTTACGTGAGAATGTCCTTGTTGCAGTTTGATTTCTTTGCAGATGGAAGCACCACAAGATTTGCCATGCAGCCTTCAACTCTTCTGCAGCCTAAATTTGAAGTTTTACAACGTCGGGCTGCTATTTTGGCTTTTAGGCATAATTCCACTTTCCTTCTCAGTAGCACCATCCTCTACTTGATTTTCTGCAGAAAGAAGTTGTTCTGTGAGTGTGAAGGGAAAAATATATGCAGAATTCAGTGAAAATTCATTGATTTCTTGGCACATAAATGAAATCTAGTTAATAGTAATGATTCTCTAGTAGTGATACTGGTACTGGCAAAAACTCTTTCACTCAGTAATGATGTTGGCTCACCGTAGACTTCATTACTAAGGTAGCTGGCATGTACTTCATCGCCATTTCACATGCTTCAGCTGCTGACTTATTTTAAAGAATTAATAACACATAACTGCAGGATCAGAAATTTGGAAGTGACTCTAGAAGCCATTTAGCAGAATCTGCAAGCAGAATGCTGTTTATCCCACCACTGAGATAGGGCTTTCTGGACTCTAAGTGTCCCCAATAAATGAGAACCCACCACCTCCCAAGGCAGAAAAAGAAATGGCCCTTCGGTTTTTAAATCAGTGGAAAGTAGCCTATTGTACAATAAATCAATAGTACATACAAGCTATAAGTGTGTGTGTAGGAGTGAAGAGCTGATCATGAATTGGAGTGTTAGAAGCATGTTTTTACTCATCTATGAAATAGTGATCTGATAAAGTATCAAGGGAGATATACGTGGGACATACTCAATGATTATACAGATAAACCCGTGTAAATAATAACATTTGCACTTGAGTTTCCTGAATTATACTGGGTGCCTTGGGAACTTTTTTAGATTTGGGTACAAAGTAATTCAAGGTGACTGAATAGCTCAGTGGGTTAGTTATCTGCTGTGGAGCTAGAAATCAGGAGTTTGATTCCCCACTGCTTTGCAGGAGAATAGCCTGTGTATGTAGAGTTAGGCAAGATGCAGAGTCTTAGGATGCACCAGAAAAAGGGCATGGAACACTATTTCTTAGTACTCTACCTAGAAAACCCTAAAAAGGGTCACCATAAGTTAGAGTCAACATACATCATCATTATTATTATTATAAGATAACCTACCTTCCTCTGTAATAGCAATATCATCCATGGTGCTTGCCAGTTTCTCCAGGTTAAGGGCAGCTGCATCTCCTTGCAGGTCATGGATCGCATTTCTCCGGCCGCTCCGATCACAACTGATGAAATCAGAGTAGGCAGCCTCACTCTCCATGATGTCATCTGCATTCTTTGTGGCAGAATCCCTGTGTAACAGATGTAAATGACTGAAAGAATGTCAAGGTAGATGAGAGATATTCTAATTAAAAATGCACATTGATCAAATTGAACCACTGTACCCAGCCAACATAAATGTGGAACAATTTTTATGTTACACATTCAAACATCCTCATGATAGGTCAGGGTTGACAAAAGGTGTAACAGAAGACTTGCATTGTCTATCTTACTCAGTAGGCAGTGATACCTTATAGTAAAGAGAGAGCCTCACATAAATGTTAATAAAGTAAATCCAGTCCTTTATGTTGGGTCAGGGGACTGACAGTTCTAGGATTCTTTCTCCTATTCCCCCCTCTCACACTTATGAAAAAAGTCTATATACAGTTGAAATCAGAAAAGAGTCTATTTTTAATCATTTTCCAACACAATTCAATTCTCCATTGCTGATTTAGGGACAGCAGCTAGAGATGTGTATGCTTTAGTAATAAAAATAGCAGGAAGAGAATGGATTGCCTCCCACCTCCTACTGCTGCTTCCCTCCTTCCAGATTTACCATGATTGTGTCTCATTTTTAACAGCATTAAGAAGAAGGCTCAGAAGTATAAGCCCTTGTCCATGTTCTCTGACCCTCATCTTGCAGTAGCTTAAAAGATCAGGGCATGATCGGCCAATCTGTGGAACAAAGAAGTGTAAGGAAGAAAAGCTCTAGATTTTGTAGTGCTCTTTGAAAGAAGCACGGAAAAGGAAATTCTAAAGGCACAATTATAAACAATTCCAACAAGGAAAAACAGGTAGAAGAATGTCAAAAAAAAGGCCAATGGAGCTTCACAAAAAGCTCAGAGAGGACCTGAAAACAAAAAAAGGACATATTTAGGAAGTGGAATGAAGGCCAGGCTACAAATAGGTAGTAAAGAATTGCAGGGATGGTGTTAGGAAAGCAAACGCTGAGAATGAGCTGATGGTAGCAAGAGATGCTAAAAGCAACAAAAAAGCATTATTCAGACACTTGTGCAGCAAAACACAAAGAAAAGAAATAGTGACAACTTATTCAATGGGGATGGAAAAATTATAATGGATGAAAGAGAAAAGGCAAAGTGCTAATTCCTTGCTAATTCCTACTTTAGCTTGGTCTATGCTCTCCACGCAAATGTGAAGTAAAAATAGAAGGATCAGGATTGCAGCTTTAGATTGAGATTGAAATATTTTTACAGTGGTACCTTGACTTACGAACTTAATCCATTTTGGAACGGCGTTCGTACATCGAAAAGTCGAAGTACCATTTTCCACTGAAATGCATGGGAATGGAATTAATCCATTCCAGCATTTCAAAAAATTACCTTCGGAGGTCTCAAAGGGCTTTCTGCCCAACATCGGAGGAAGCCCTTTGAGAGCTCTGAAAGCAAAAAGGCAGGAAGAAAGGGCGGGCAATTTGAATTTCCAGCCCTTTCTCCCTGCCTTTTTGCCTTCTGAGCTCTCAAAGGACTTCCTATGATGTCGGGAGGAAATCCATTTGAGACCTCTGAAGGCGACGAACAGCTCCATTTGCAAAAAATGGCATTGACATGTGAATGGAGCCTCAACCTCGTTCATAGGTCGAGGCTCCATTTGCAAGTCAATGCCAATTTTTGCGAATGGAGCCGTTCGTAAATCAAAAAGTTCGTTCGTAAGTTAAGGGTTGACTGTATTTATTTATTTATCTATTTATCATATTTTACTCCTACCCTTTACCTAAAAAATCCTACATTATTAAAGCAATATTAAAAGCTAGGAATATCTTATTACTTTGAATGAGTTCAAATATACAGGAGCAGATGAACTGATCCAAGAGTATTGAAGGAACTGGCTGAAGAACTCTCAAAGACACTGTATTATTTTCTTGAAATCATAGAAGCTGGGTGAAATGTTCAATAATTGGAGGAGGGCAAGCATCCCAATCTTCAAAAAGTGCAAAAAATGAACCTGGGAGGTACAGAAAAGTCAGCCTGACATCAGTCCCAGGGAAAATTTTGGAACAGGTTATGACGTAGCTACTCTCCCAAGCACCTTAAAAACAATGCAGTATTGTAATATCTAGAAGCCAACATGGATTTGTCAAGAACAAATCTACTGGGTTAATCTTATCTCATGTTTGATTGGGTAACTTCCATGGTAGATGCTGGGAATGCTGTATACATAATATATATTGACTTCAGTGAAGCTTTGACAAAGTGTTTCATGATATTCTGATTACTAAGCTAACAAGCTCTGGGCTATACCTGCTACAAACCCAGATGCCAGCTTTGCCACCACATTTATTCTGGCAACATGAACATAGGGCCCAACAATGTCCCACACAACATCAAGGGCACTTTTACTTGTTCCTCTGCTAATGTGATTTATGGCATCTTTTAAAAACAATGTCCCTCTGTATTCTACATAGAACAAATAAGATCATCTCTATGCAAAAGAATTAATGGACATAATTCAGACATCAGAAACCACAAAACTCGGAAATCTATCTTAAATCACTGCAAAAGAGGAAACTCTTAGTAAGATATGAAAGTCACTATTCTGAAAAGAAAAATTACAGAACAAGAATCCAGAGGAAAACAGCTGAGATAGAATGTATACATATACTAGATACCCATCTCAATGATTAAATATTACCCATGGTTTCTTTAGCCATTACTAAATATGTTATTACATTGATATTTTACATTGCTATACTGCTATTTTGCTTCCCAACCAACCAGACTCACCTTTTCAGAACAAGGCTCTAAGGGAAAGAATGCTATGCATTAACACAACATTTGTTGTGAAATGTGGATGAAATTCTCCCTTCACTTATTCAACTGATTAAGAGTTTAATTTATCAGTGCTGAACACAGATATCTTTCACATTCCACCTAAAGAAACAGCTTAGCCTTCTTTTTCCACATAACAAGAAATACAGAAAGAACAGACACCGGAAGGGAAGTGCCAGTGAGACTCTCTATTACTTCAAAATGCAGAAAAAATGTAGATGAAGTTCACATTATATTGTGGAATATATGCTTGTTTCCTCACCCACCCCCTTTAACGTGTTCCTGCACAGCTATGCAAAAGCCAAGTTAAATCAGCTTCCAAGTTGTTCTTTTCCTTAGTTTAGAGGTTTGGTTGCAAAGGTACTTCCTTTTCCTGGTCATAAAATGTTCTGCCCCAGTTACTCAACTGCAAAAGTCCTGATTGATGAGGTGCTAAAAAGCCACAGTGCTAAAACTGATTACCCTTGAGAAATGCTTTCACCTTCAATGATCTCCAGTTGGGGCATTCAGTCATCTCAAGTACTTTCTTCTGTCTGCAATATGATCTAGTGTGACTTCATGTAGTTCATGCTACTCTCACTATATCCTCTTGTCCAGTTTGGATTGGTTTATCTTTTTCAAGACCCAAGAATTCTGGTCTTCACTCTCCTCTGAAGGGTATCTTTAAAAATATTATGAACTGTGTCAGTCCAAACTAACTCATCAAGTTAGTACATACACTGATATGAAAAGCCAGTCTTACATTAAATGGTGCAGAGTGGAGTAACAGCAATAATACCAGACTCATTACAGACTTCAGTGGGACAGTGTTTTCCAGAAGAAGATGGTGAATGTTCTGGGTTTTCTGCCCAGATTGTATCATCAAGAAAAGCTCTCAAAAGCATAGCCTCCTGGTCTTGGAATCCAAAGAGCTGCCAAAGCTACCAAAATACCATCATAAAGGATTGTTGAATCACAGAATCAAGAGAGTTGATAGCAGTAAACAGATCTTCATTTTTTCCATATTATTAATTTGGCCTGAATCCAATTAGTAGCCCCTGCCAGAGCAGAGTCAATGAAACTCTGGGACATATGTAAATGCAGGTTTACAATTCAGCAACTGATCCAGTAGTGCTATTGTTGCTGGGATTAGCAACTGAATTTTGGTCTAAATTTCAGAGCCATGATTAATCCAGTTGATTTCATCCTGTTCTTGATAAGGACAAGACCATTTTTTAATCACAGATTCTTTTCAAGTTTTGCAAGTTTATGGAAAGGAAGCAAACCTGACAAGGCAAATAATGAATTATAGCTTGCAGATGACTTTATCTTTATGTTTTGCTTTTGACCTTAAGAAGATAAGTAAATGCTTCAGTAAGTGTTTGCCTGACGATCTTTCTCCTTTGTATAATATATATTTGTTTTTATAGTTTTTATCAGATCTTGAATGGGACTGAAAAGGTATCTTAGTGAAATCCACAAACCTCAAGTCCATGAATTCTCTCAGTTTTAACCTAATTATATCCCACAGCCTAAAGTTAACTTACATTAAAGAAGATGCATGTCTTTGTATGGAGAAAGAGAGAGGGAGAGAGAGAAGGATCTCCTCAGGTTTCCTAGACAGTCTTCTCCATGCTCTGGCTTATGCTGCCTGTCCTTCAACCTACACAGATATTCTTAGAGTCACTGATGGCACTTCTTTGCTTCTCACATTTCTGCTCTAGTTCTTCCTTGACCCTCTCTGGGAGAGGAAAGAGGACATATCTTACGTTTGTTCTCAAGAGGTAAAGAGGCTGCCGGCTCCCTCTATCTTAAGGTGTGATGACACAATGGGGAAAATATGCCAAGATCCCCTTTCATCTGCAGTTTTTCAAAGACAGTCCCTGCTGGTGAAATCGCTATAGATATCCAGACTGCAACTATTTTTTTTCTTTTCACTCTAACCACTGGCACCTCTGATTTGACACAGTGCCAGTTGGCAATTTCCATCTCTTGTTGTTGCAGCAGCAGCAGTGCAAAACAGAGCAGCAGCAACAACAACCACAACCCCTTTTTCTAATAGGGCTTAGCACAAATTCCTTTCAGCACTGACTTTTAAAGCTTTAAAAACAATTGCACTGTTTTGGGAAAACAGGTTATTGCCCTGCAAGCACCCCTTTGTATTGGGTCAGGCAATCACACAGGGCAGAAAGCAAAGAAAAGCAATTCCAGCATGGAGTAAAATTTAAACCACCCCTGCTGGATGAACTTTTTTTTTTTAAGGCAAT